CATAAAACTTCGTCTTTGCTGGAAATGATTGTATAAACTCTCGGAACTGTTTTTGTGACTAGGCTACTAGAATCTAGGCTACTGAACGAGAATCTAACCTGCATATACAGATCTAACACGCAAATGATTAAAACAAGACAAAGACTGGGGATCTACACATGTGTGTCGAAACATAGAAAAGCAATATTTGTTTGTACACGAAAGACATAAAACTTGAGGTGCCCACGACGCAATGTACATAAATAAATATTCCTGGATAGTGCCTACGAATTAATCGGTTATCTAGAACTAGCATTTGCAATGAAAAAGTGCTTCAATGTTGTAGGAATGTTTCTAACCTAACTCTAACAATTTCTAGACGATAATTACAAAGAAATAACAAGTTAGACATAATCAAGAATAAAGTTTAAATGTTTCTTACCTTGAACAAGAAAGGAGGCAGAGCTGTGAGTTCCTGGGTTTATTCAAGCAAGTGTGCCTGTGATGGAAGAACCCAGGATTTTATACCCCACAGCTCTACTCGTTTGTCATTATCAAGTTTCTATAAAGTTGAAGTTTCCATATGCGTTATCTACCCTATGCTGACAAAGTATACTACACGAGGTAGGTGGTAAGAAGATGATTACCTAACAAGGTTTGATTTTCTTTATGGTGTAGCCACAGTCAGCGCTTGACCATGGCATTTACGACAGGATAAAGACGATAGCATGATGGTAATCTCGATCTTGTTCAACAAAAGTTGATTTTCGATTACGACTTGGTTGGTGGTAGACATGCTCCTGCTGGGATGGGACTACTTATCTGTGCTTGACCAAGGGATGTACCCGAGAAGAAAGGCCGGAGCCGATACAGCTCAATAACTTCATCTTTAATAATAATAATAATAATAATGAGTGAATTTGTAACGCGCCAATCTCCACGCCAGCTGGTAGGCTCATGGCGCTACAAGTAAAGTTATTTGGGTGAGAGTCTAGACAAAGTACTTCTTAAATAAAAACGTTTTGAGGAGAGTTTTGAAGGAGTGCAGGTTTGGGCAGAGAATTCCATAGAATAGCTGATTGGTAGGCAAATGATCTGAATCCAAATCGTTTTAGTCTGTATCTGGGCACTGTGCACAGAATTTGGGACTGGGATCGGACAGTTCTGGTTGGATTATACTGGCTTACAAGTTCACACAAATAGGATGGCGCGATAGTGTTAAGGCACTGGTATGCGAGTACAAGAACTTTAAACTCAATTCTAGCTGAGATGGGCAGCCAGTGTAGGGATCGTAGAAGTGGCTGTATATGTGCAAACGTTGGAGCAAGACACACAATTCGAGTTGCAGTATTTTGTATTTTTTGTAACTTTGAGATTCTTGTGACACACCAAACAGTAGGCTATTGCAATAGTCCAGGCGTGAGAATATCGGTGTTCGAACTAATGCAGCGGCAGCTTCCTGGGATATTAGATGCCTTACTTTTCCGATGTTTCTTAAATGAAAATGGCATTTTCGACATAGCTCTTGTATGTGACAATCCATACTCAATGTGGACTCTATCAAGACACCCAGATTCTTAACCACTGGTACAAATGGTATACTTTCGTGACACACAGACAGGTGCGTAACACCTACTTTCGTCACCATTGCATCCGTACCAATAAGCATAGCTTCTGTTTTATCTTGATTCAACTTTAATTTGTTTGTTGCCATCCAGGATGCAATCTGGTTGGTGCATGATTCTAATTTAGCCCGTGGTTGTCTATCATCAAGATTAAAACAGTCTGACATCTGAGTATCGTCAGCATACATTTGGTGATCGACATGGCCCAGTTGGGTGGTGTACAAAGTAAACAGAACTGGTCCAAGAACCGAACCTTGTGGTACACCATAATCCATGTTGTGACATCTGGATTGTGACTGTCCGACCACAACTGATTGGCACCTGTTCGATAAATATGATTTGATCCACGACAATGTGGAGCCTTCAAGACCAAAAACCTTCTGAAGACGATAGATGAGCCTGGGGTGATCCACAGTGTCGAAGGCCGCCGATAAATCCAAAAACTAAAACTGACGGATGCCCGCGGTCTACCGACAGTTGAAGGCCATTCATAACGTGTAGCAAGGCAGTCTCGGTGCTGTGATGTGATGTGCCCTGTAGGCTGACTGGAATTTGTAGAACAGTTTATTGTGGTCAAGATGATCCTTTAAGCGTTTATTAACAGCTTTTTCAAGGAGTTTAGCAAGAAAAGGTAAATTTGATACGGGTCTGTAGTTGTTCAACTGATTATTATCGAGGGTGGGTTTCTTCAACGTAGGCTTAATAACAGCCTTCTTGAGTGGAAGGGGGCGACTCCTGTCTCCAGACGTGTGTTGATTAACTTCGTGATGACAGGAAGAAGTACATCAACATGTTTCAACAACAACTTTGTGGGAAGTGGGTCTAAGTCACATGTTGTTGGTTTAGACTGACTGATTAGCACCATAACATCATCTGCTGGAGTAAGCGGAGGAAAGGCTGTGAGAACATCATCAGCGAATTCATCACTCGTGAATCCAATATCAGAAGATAAGGCATCTAGGCCAGATCTTATCTTTTCTATTTTGGCTTGGAAATAATCACTGAAGCTTGATGCTAGCTCCATCTTTGATTAATTAGTTTAAGGTTGGCGTGGACGCGTTTGCTAATTGCGGGGCTACTACTGCGCTTGCCATGCGGGGCTATAAACAAGACAGACTATGCACAGCGACTTGCACCTATACAGATTTCCTATGTTATAAATAATTTGTGAAAAATATAAAAATGTATGAAGAAATATATGCACTGTAATACTACTATAAGTATTGTAGCAGAGGCAAACTATTCAAACTTTTTTGGACTTTATTCAACAGTAGTCCAACATTAAACAATGCATTATCCTCACCGATTCTCTTCAATGCCATCAGGCACTGTATCTCAATACCATCCATATATACTTCATATTTCGGAATTGTATAATAATCTTTCTAATGGCCACTATGATCTTTGTATGATTTCAAGTCTTGTAGGCTCAATGGGCACTACTCAAAAGCTACTGCTGCCCTTGAAACTGTTGTCTCTATAATTATCATTTAATACGAACAAAGTGGAACATCCGGTTCTTTATAAACAAAGTTCAAGAAATAAAGGAAACTAAAAACATGGCAATGTCGCATTGTCTACAGTCGTTATATCCATGAATACATATTTAACAGGTCAGGGTCCTCCTGTTGTGTCAGTTTGGATGATAACAATCAGGCAAATTTTCCTTGTCTTTGTAGAATGGTCACTCAAAATGGATACTGTTATTACAATCTAATCAATGACAATTCTCTTTTAATTCTAGGTTTTCAAAAAAGAATATGATTGATAAATAGCTGTTGAATAGATGTGTTTATACCCAGGTTGATGCCTTTGATGATGAATATTATAATGCCAGAGATATTTTTATGGGATTGACGTATCGTTAAAGAGTTGACCTGATGGTTAAATGTAAGTCCTATGAGTATTGAAGTACATTGCCTACCCGAATGTTAATGCTTTTCTTATTTGGACATTTATATTTATGGCAAGTATTGTCTCCCACCTTCCCGGTTTCTATTTAATTGGAAAAATTTATAGATCTGATAAGAATAATAATTATGTAATGATTAAACAGTTTGTTAGAGGTGCTTTAAATGCATTGTGGTATTTCACATGGTATTATAAAGGCTATTGTATCATATGGGGAATATTTTGATACAAAGTGGGTGAGTAAAAATGTAATCAACCACGGATTATTTCAAACATCTGTATACGTAGTTGGCATAGAAATCACCAACATAGGAAACCTGAAAGTAGACATTTAAACACAGACTTAGTCAATTTCAGATTACTAGTACGAAACAGAGTTTCTGCTGTGGTGAGAAATGTCAAAAGAGATTTTTTCATTAGGGATTGATGCACAAATAAATAATAACTGTAACCCCCAAACATGCGGCTTGTTAAATATTATACGAAAAACAGAACAAATTTACATCTCATCCGTCAGTTCATGTATAACGTGTGTTACATTTGACCACTGTCTGAATGGCATTATGTATTAATAGCTTGATTTGCTTCAACATTCTTTACTGTAGTTGCGGTTACCACCAACCACGGAGACGATGCTCTATGCCAGTATATCTCCAACTGACAGCACTAAGGATCCTCATGCAGATGGTACACTCCAGAAGTGGAGTAATTCTACCATATTGATAGCAAATAAAACCTTTGGAGTAAAAGCTTTCGTATAACCCCTTAAAGAAAGCAGTTTTGTGGAAAACAACAGACTGCACAGAGCATGACTCTAGCCGATTGATAGTGCCGGGGCCATTCTATCACCCGTCTTTTTTGTGAGGTACGGGTCCAATTAGCATACAAAGTAAATGAACGCTATTTCTGGAACCAGTGCTCTCAATAAGTAGACTCCCGTCCTCCACCGACATAACGCAACTCAAAGAAATCAGGTTGCCTAATTCGATTGCCGTTTATGACCAACAAGGGTGTTGTGGACACCTTTTAGCCCGGGATTCCACGGGGATAAATCTTAACGACATTTACCATAAACAAACGGAGCTCATAATATATGTTGCCTTTTGTACACCAGACTTTTCTTAAATTTGGTAAATATATTTTTTCAGCTGCGTGCCTTTCACTTCTGCCAAGCTGAAACTCCGCTTATTCATTTATGTTCTGGCGTTGAATTTACCGTGCATGAAATATTAATTCCTTACTCAGTAGTATAATGATTCATTTCATAAAAACAAAATCAGTTGTTTCTATTTTGTTCACATCGTATTTAAGCCCGTAAGAGAAATGAAAGCGAACACTACTAAAGGCCAGTATTGGAGTACATACGTATCTTAAAAACCAATGATAATATTTTGCAAAATGCAAATATCCCATATATTCTTCCAAACTCGTTTCATGCCAGTGACGTCTCAGGTTGTAAAACGTTTCGTTTTGCGTTCCACACCCTGGTGTCAGAACATTCTTCCGGACACGCCCGTGTCGTTGCCAAGGTATTTACTCTCCTGTCGTGAAGGGAGTACAGGTTCAGGGCTAGTGGCTGTGTTTCTGTGTCTGACATACACCAAACGCACGGTAGGTAATTTTGCATGTTTCGAAGTAACATTTTCCATCGTTGATAACAGATTTTCCCCCGTGTGACCATTCAGCTTAAGGCAACGCGTTTTACCCCAAACGAGGCATACTTGATTACAAAGCTGATAGATTGTCTTCAACCATTGTCTGACCCCATTTAACAGACGTTTTAGACAGAACTCACCTGACCGACACGAAATATCGTCTCAGGTTAAAAACTAGATTTTGTTGTAGCATGTATATGTATACTCAAGTGGTTGATCAAATTAATATTCGCTCAGGTGACATACTACAAATGCTAGTGAGTGAGTGAGTGAGCTACGACTTTTAGTCGCATCGTCACTATTTCAACCACCATTTCGCAACAAGTTATACATTCATAATACAGAAAGTTAGATTATGGAAACCTGTCGACAAATGACAGAAAGTAGAATATGACAGTTATAGATGCACAACTAGTATGTAACGCTAACACTATGTTACTTTAGAAGAAGTATGTAACGCTAACACTATGTTACTTTAGAAGACATTACAATATAAAAACGTGATGCAGATCACCATTCCAGAGACCATGGGTATTTTTGCTATCTTCATGGATCCTAACTGGATTTAGTAATTTATTTAGTTGCTGCAATTTCTCTGGAGAGTTTAGCTTAGAGAACACGTACCTGGAAACAAAACACATGTCGTGACTGATTTGACGGAAAGATACCCACTTCCTTCTTTTAAAAAAAGAAAGCTACATGTTTTGATGTTGCAGATAATGATGCTGCGGATCTGCATCACGATGTGTCTTTGCGCTGTATGCAATGGTAAGAGAAACCTTTGATTTGAATTATTCATACAAAACATAATTTTAGTAAGAAGCTCATTTTCACACTGCAAACTTCCGACTGGAAGGTTTGGTTACGCCTAAGTGAGAGTGAAGCTAAATGTACCCCACACGCACCTGTAACCGTGAATGGTTACAGTGATGTGATACAGGTCCCGGATGATAGAGGCCAAACAATCTCCAGGTACCGTGTTGCTGTGTAATATCATCCACAACTGCTAGCTTGATTGAAACAGAATAACTAACTCAAAGCTTATGAAACAAAACTATGTGAATACGTTTACTTATATGCACGCAGAAAAATACCAACATGAAAACTGACAGAATATGGATCGCGGTTTCAGATCTGTGATATTCACCCATTTCTTTAATTGAACCAAGAGAAAGTGAAAAAATTAGTGAATGTTCTTTAATGCCATGGTTAGACATTTCAAGCTTCTAGTATAAGTCCACAGGGATCAGAAACAAGAACATATATGCTTATTTATGTGAGCCCTTGTTATCATTTGATCCTGATTACGTGTTTCACCAATGCAGGCTACATGCTGGACATGTGTTACACCTGTAGAGGGCCCATAAGTAGGTCATGGCACTTAGCGAGACCTTAGTGCTTCCGATGACAAACAACCTTTTATACCTTTTCGAATGGCCTCTTTGTTGTCAGTTGACAGTAAGGAACCGATAATCTTTGGAAGACGATCTAACCATCCCCATAATTATTACAACTATACGGCTGTCAACAGCTGTGACAGCCAAGCAGGGTTGTACACTTGGTCCGGTCTTGTAAAGTCACATCTGGCCATCGCGCAATTTGGAAGCAGAACTGGTCTCGAACATGTGCTTGTCACCGGAAATCTGATACCGGAAGTAAACTGGGAACCGTATCGCATATCGCAAGTTGGCATGCGGCAAAGTGAGCCTCGCGATACTTACAGGCCCTATAAGGACAATGTCGTACAATAAGGGTGGAGCCTATATCTATGTGCATAACAGATCTTACACAAGTTAAACAAGTTGAAATAAGCGAAGTGGAGATTAACATGTCGGAATTTCAAGACGCGATAATTATTATTTTTCTATTATGCTAACATTTCTATAGCGTGAATATCCCGCTCAGCTGCTCAAAAGCGCTTTGATTTCCCCTCGCTCATTGGATATCAAACTCAAACGGCACATTGTATTATCAATCTCAATTCCCTAGGGATCATACAACTCTTATAATTTCTAAGCATAAATACTTAATCTTGTTATGTCCAAAATTGCTGATCCCCCTACCTCCCCAGAACAAAATGGGCGCCACCCCCTTAAAATCATCAAAAACACCCCACCACCCAAGCCATAAATTGTGAACGGCCCCGTGTTTCTTATCTGAGATGTAGGTATAGTCATTTTGGCAATCATCTTTCCCGTTATGATCGTTCGCACAACCCAAGACTGCCTGGACTCATAAGTTTTATTCGAGGCAATGATGCTGTATGAGTGATTACATAATACATACTTTCGACATGTCTGCATGGTTCATACCATGTCCATGTCATGTCACTTTCACTCACCCATACATACGTATTCAACACGGATTATCACATATATTTGAATACTTGACTCTTATGATCATGAGATGATTCATTCCCAAAATAGGAACATGCATATGTCACAAGAGATATATCTTCATTATTTTCGTCCTCGCCATTTCAGTGCAGGCATATTTGAATGTTGAATGCTGTACAAATGTGAGCATGTCGACATATATCACGTGTCTTCTGAATTAAGAAACAGTGGAGTAGCCCGACTCAGCATTTCCGTTTTTATGTGTGGGTGAATGAGTGAGTGTTGTGTAACATCGGAAAATCTTTAAGCCTCATCTTAACGACAGAAATGCATACTTTAAGTTTACATACATGTTTACTGAACAGGGGCTTGATATCGCTAGAACCAGTTATGTCACCTCACTACGGATCGTGGGGACTTTCACGAAACTGCTGATAAATACACCATGCCACTAAAAGGCAACATTATAGCGATGTCACTTCTGAAAGTAACACATAATACACATAGCACGAATTAACATACAGTGTTCACGAAAGCGGCTTCTTCCGTTAATTACATAAGTATACATGTCCACCTTAAATCGTGATGCATTAAAGTGGGCGTTCTTTCATACACGACAACACAGGGAAGACGTACTGCATATGTCAGAGTTTAAACTTAATCTCATGTTCACAAACTAACAACGCTTCATTGTACCTGGCACATGTGTGTCAACTCATAAATGAAACATATTCTTAGGTTCAGACAGACTTTATAGGGAAGAAACATCCGATAATGCTGAGTGACTGTAATGGTAGTAAGATGTTATATGAATAACAACATGCGTCTACCCTCTTCTCACAATTCATGACAGATACTCCATATTCGATAGCGTGAAGAGGACTGAGACAGAGGTACTAAGCGCAAGACAAGCATGCGATATGTGCCGAGGTCGTATGCCGCCATTGACCCCCAATGTTTGCAAGTCTCTACACCAAGTACACACTAACCTTGCACACTCAAAACAACTTCTCATCCGATTGTAGATGCAGGAAGGAATACAATCATGCATCACAAATGTCAGGTCTCAACCCCAGCAAGAGAGTTCGAATGTGCCTCTGTTCATCCAGCAGGGAAGGAGTACCCCATATGCGATGTGGACGCGAAAAAAATTTTGGGCTGAATACTCCCCAGGAACATGAGAATGATAACATATGCAAGGGATCGAAAGCTGCCCGTAATCATACTGATCCTTCACATTTCAGGCCAATATCGCTCACTAGCTGTGTTTGTAGGCCATGGAGAAAATGGCAAGTGTCCGATTAACATAATACTATTACAAATATTCAATGTGGTATTCGAAAAAAAATATAGAAGTATTAGACCATTTAGTTAGACTGGAAAGCAATGAGATGGGAATTAATAGGCCGTTTGGCTCATGTTATAGCATAGCTTTCAACATATCGGCATTAGCAGGTACATGTGGGCTCGACCTTGTCTGAATTTGTACGGTCAAGATCAGGGTGTGTGATAAGGCAGCATAATATCGGTAACGTTGTTGAGTATTAAACTATTAGTGTATCTAAAGTTCTAAATGGTGGTGAATGCAGTGTAGATTAGTATCATGCTATTTAAAGTTGTTTCCAATACAAAGCGGGTGAGGGGTAATCAGTCGACTGTGCTTTACTTGTATACATGACTTTGTCTTGGATAAATATCTCCCACTGAAATCATTTACTTTGAGGCATATTTGCCTTCTGATACAAACTATGTCTGCAGTATATTACACAAATGTATTACCATACAAAACAGAAACACATATAATCTCTTATCTAACCCCTTTCAATTCTTGCAGCTAATATTGAAATAGAAAATATGTCACCTTATCGCCAGCTCTGTTCTCCTTAACAATTGAAAAAACCCACAGGTAGACTAATCATTGGCCGAATGAAACTACTCTGGAGTAGACATATTCCTGCCAACAGATCTGATCTTGTCTTTTTTGATAAAAAAAATACAACGATTATATTTATGTAATTGAATGTTCTGTCGCTTTTGGCGAAAAATGCATGATAAATATGCGCACATGGCATTTGCAATATCTCGCTTGCATCCCAGTACACTGTCGTCAGATTCCTCATTGTTCTCGGTACCTTTGCTTTTGGGGCAGATTGGGAGAGTGTCCGGGTTCTCCGTCCAGAACACAGCCCTCTTGTCATACTGGGTAATACAGACTGCTGTTGTGTTGGGGAGGCTGAGTATTCTCCGGAAAGTTCGTCTAGGCAGCGCTTCATGGGAGAAGTCCTGTATTTTAGGATCTTTCATTCATTCGTTCGTTCGTTCGTTCATTCATTCATAGATAGGTCCGAAGAGCCTCACAACATCATGGTTATGAAATTATATAGTTCAGAATACTCAACATACATACACTATAAGTTCGATGTCTCTCTCTCTCGAGGGTAATACGGTCTGATACGCCTGTTTGTAGCAGTGTCACCCGGTAGGCGACATATATGACATATGGCGTCTGTTTCTCGACTGGAATTTTAAAATCAGTGAAACATTTTCTGTCAAGCTTAAAACTGATGTAAAAATGGTCAATTGTATTTAAGTTGAGCGTGCAAACGATTCAATGTATAAAATAGTTTAAATAAAGCAGTGAAATGTGTACATAGTGAACTCAAACTAGCTAATCGAACGGTTTTCGATCTCCGTCCACTGCATGCGTCATATTATGACGTCATACCATTGTAACCGATACAGCGTCTTGGCAGAGAGTTGGTGGTTACCTTGACGGCGGTAATATTTTTTCCAGTTGTCACCCTCCTGGGAGGAAACTTGTTAAAGCGTCATTGATCAATGAAATTAAAGTATTTTACATGAAGGTAAGATAAATACATAATACATACATAAATTATGGGAACATTTTCCCCATTATATACAGTCAGATATTGGTAAGATTATTACAAGTGATTGAGAATATCCTTTAGTTTATACAAATACTTTGAGAATTCTATAATAGTAAAATGCCATGTTTTTTCATAAATATAATTGTTTTGGGCCCCGAGAAAGAATGCTATCATACATTTCAACATGAAAATTATCGATTAGAGTTGTGGATGCACCAATGCCATGTTGTATAAACACATGGGGTGTAAGTGTTGTATGGAGTTTAGAATATGGAAAAAGGGCAGCCCTGCAGGATACTTCACATTTCCATACTTCTTCCTCGTGGCTACTTACTTCATGTCCTACAATCTTTCCCCCACACACAGGAATTCCCCTGTGCAGAAATGCATGATGAAGTAGGTTATATTACGTAGCGTTGGTTGCTTTCAGTTCATTCAGGATCTTTACCATTGAGAGTAGGTAGTAGTTCACCGCCATAAAAACGCGTTGTAAAGATCATTCTTTTCAATATCTTAATACTTCCATACTGCTGTAAATCCTTAC